AGGGGTCATCAGGAGGCACGGCATACAATTTCATAGTTATGCTGATGATACACAGCTATATATTGCTGTGTCTCATGATGACCCAAAGCCACTTGGTGCACTTTTTAGCTGTATTTTAGATATTAAGTGCTGGATAGCAGAGAATTTTCTACAGCTCAACCAGGACAAAACAGAATTTTTAGTTATTGGGTCTGAAGCACAGAGAGAGAAACTGCATACAAAACTACTAACATTGGCTCTGGAATCATGTCAAAAAGTAAAAAATCTTGGAGAAATAATTGATGCTGACTTCAGTTTTGAGCCCCACATTAAGAATATAACAAAAACAGGATTTTATCATTTGAAAAACATTTCCAGTCAGGCCGTTTCTCTCTAATGCCAATGCAGAGACTCTAGTGCATGCTTTTATCACCTGTAGAATTGATTATTGTAATGCTCTTCTTTCTGGTCTTCCTAAGAAGACCATTATACCATTACAACGAGTTCAAAATGCAGCCACTCGAGTTCTGATGAGGACCAGAAATAGAGCACACGTTACTCCCATCCTAGAGTCTCTGCATTGGCTTCCTGTTAGCTTCAGAATTGATTTTAAGATTCTTTTATTAGTTTTTAAAGTTCTTAATGGTCTTGGTCCCTCTTATTTATCAGAATTGCTTTTAACCTATCAGCCCTATCAGACTGTTAATTATTCCAGAAGTTAGAACTAAAACCCATAGTGAGGCGTCCTTTTCTTATTATGGCCCACGTCTGTGGAACAGCCTGCCAGAGGATCTGAGGGCAGCAGAGAGTGTGGATATTTTTAAAGGAAAACTCAAGACTTACCTATGTTAACAGGGTTGCATCTGTTAGTGTTAATACTGTTGTTTTCTTTTTTGTTCAGATGCAGCGAATCTGACTATGGCGAATATCGAAGAGGAGGAGGAGGAGATTGTGGTCGTGGAGACTGAGCCTCCCAAACGCAAGAGCATTGCCACACTACAGGTGAGAGGTCACTGTGATTGACACAGTCCAGTCTGTCAGTTCAGGGCTGCACTGATGTCAACAATACAAGAACATTGAATTTGTTGTGTAGTGTGTCTCTGGTACTTGTAAACAAGGGAAGAATTGAGAAAGTCAACCTAAACCCATCAAATCAATCCAATTTCTGCTGCTCATACAGGCCAGCTGCATAACAAGACAAGTAGTTGTAGGCCTACAATGTTTTATCTTTTAGGTAAAAGTACACTGTAAGTATGTAGTATACCTTTGAGTTGCTTATATTTTTCCAACTTTTTTCACATTATTTTTCACATGTAAACATCATATTATAGCTATTGCTGTTTGGGGCCCAAAGAAGCAGTGTTGTGTGTGTTGAGCTGTAGCAGTTGAGTTTGGATGAGCTGTTTTCAAGAAAGCTGCAAGCAGCAGTACAGACCGAACACTCGACCTGTTCCAAACAAGCGTGTTTTGAACTGGCACTGCGCTGTTTGTATGTTGTTGTTGTTGTTGTTTGTTTTTTGTTTTTTAATTTTGCCTCTGTTTGTGTGTTCAGCTGTACGGAGGTGATCTGGAGTCAGAGTTCAGTCAGTTTCAGGACTGGCTGCACATATTCCCGCTGTATAAAGGCAGAGCAAGCATTGAAGATGATGAGGAGGATGAAGAGGAGAGGCTGATGGGAAAATATAAGGTACTGTGGATGATCTGTCTGTCTGTCTGTTTGTCTGTCTGTCTGTCTGTCTGCAGAAAAGTGTCCATTATCCCACACTCTCCATCCCCAGGGCTCCTTCCTGATTTATCCGATCGATGCAAGAGATGAAGAAGACACCACATGTCAGATCACCAATGGACTCCCCAAAAACTCAGCGATCAAAGTCTTGATCCGAGTCTACGTCATCAAGGTACCTGTCCCTCTGTCCATCCACAGCCTGCCTATGTGTCTTACTCACTGACACGTTTAAACATTTTACAACATATTCTTTACACTGACTTTAAACTGATAATAGATTAAAGCATGCTCTGACGTCATAGATATAACACTTAGCTGCTAAACAACAACCATTTTCATGCAGTAAACAACCAAATTCACGCTTTGCTTCTCACAGTGTCCCTGCCTACAGTTGCATTATGGGTTAACTGAAGCCCCTTTCACACATGCAGTCTATCCCTGAAATGTTCAGGAACATTTCTTGCATGAGGCCATGTGTAAATAAAATCAGGGTGCAAAATTTAGGGAAATCTTTACCATTAGTGTCCCATCTCGAGACCAAATAACAATTTTGAAAGAGACTGTATCTAAACATTACATTTCCCGTTAAAACAGAAGTGTATTTTGAAAAAAGATAATGTATGTAACAAGCAGAACTTGACATGGCGTCCCAGAAAATCAACAACCAATGCACCAAGGGTACCACCTTGCATGTCGTATCTGGACGTGGAAGGTCCATGACCAAAGGTCAGAGTGAGAATGTGTTGGGTTTACAATCACATTTTAGGGGTTCCAGATGAGATTTGAATACTGAATGCCAAGTGCAGAGTACTGGTAAAAAAAACAAAAAAACAAAAAAAAAAACCATGCTTTCAACAATCCTCAAAGAACTCTTTCTTCCAAAAAGGGCTCTTTGTATAAAAAGGTTGTTTTTTTTTACAAAGAACCCTCAAAGAACCCTTTCTTTAAAATAAGGTTTCTCTGGTTTAAGGTAGTACCTAAGCCCTTTAGGAAGGAGCCTTTTGAAACCCTCATTTCTAAGAGTGTACTGTGAGTTCTGCTGTGTGTTTGACTGTCTCTGTCTGTATCCTGCAGGCCACCAATCTGGCTCCCACAGACCCGAATGGTAAAGCTGACCCGTATCTGGTGGTTCAAGCTGGAGAGCAAAGTTTGGACACCCAAGATCGATATATCCCCAAACAGCTCAACCCCACGTTTGGAGAGTCAGTACCTGTCTGTCAACCTGCACCTGTCCAACCCTCTCTGTTTGTCCATTGTTTGTCTGATTGTCTGTATGTCTGACACTGTCTTTCAGGATGTTTGAATTCACAGTGTCCTTTCCACTGGAGACGGAGTTGGTTGTCAGAGTGATGGACCATGATATAATAGGGTCTGATGACGTCATCGGTGAGACCCGACTTGATCTGGAGAACCGGTTCTACAGCCGCCACAGAGCCTCCTGCGGTCTGGCTCTTTACTATGACACGTTAGTACCACAACTGACACGCAATCACCAAAAGTACAACATGTTACAACCAGTACTACAACACAGTGGTACCACAACTATGGAACATTAGAGTACCAGAACTATGACATGTTAGAACCTGTATGATGACATGTTGGTATACAAAATGTGATACGGTGTATGAAACAAGAACCCAGACAGTACAATTAGTAGAACATATCAGTACCAAAGCTACAATACATAAGTACTACCACACAATAGTATCAAAAACCTCAGTATGTTACTACCAAATCTATGACATTAGTACTACAACTATGTTGTGAAACAGTGTGACATTTTAGAACAAGAACTATGACATGCTACTGCAATAACATTAGTATCAATAAGGTGACATGTTAGAACTAGGACTGTGATACCATAGTTTCAGTAGGAGGACTTATTAGTACCAAAACCAGAAGAAATTAGTACTTGTGCTATGACACAGTAGTACTAAAACTAAAATATGTTAGTGCCTAAACTGTGGCATGTTAGTACCAGAACTAAAACACATTACAACTCACACATATTATAAACAGTACTAGAACATGTTAGAACCACTTTTAAGACACTTGAGTACCGAAACCAAGAAACATTAGTACCTGTACAATGACTTGTAAGTACCAGAATTATGGCATGTTAGTACCAGAACTGGAACAGATTGGCAACAGTACTATGGCAAGTTAAAGCTAGTATTACGACAATTTAGTACCATAACCAATACATCAGTAGCACTACAACACATCGGTATAGCCACTGTCTGGGTTACGAACTTCGTCAATGGAGTACCTGTCTCTCTAAATGTGTACCTGCATATCTGTGTGTGCCTTTACTTTCCTCTGCAGTGAAGGTTACAATGTGTGGCGTGATGCGAAGAAACCATCAACCATTTTGGCAGAGCTCTGCAGGAAGAACGGCATCTCGTTACCGGAGTATAGAACATCTGAGGTCAAAGTCCTCAACAAAATCTTCAAGATCCCACCTGATGCAATACCTGAAGGTAGGACAGACAGTCAGACAGACAAGAAGACAGACTTAGCCAGGTGCAGTAGGTCATTAAAGGGAAATTCCGGTTTATTTCAACCCGTCTCCTATCGTCCTAAATTTGTTTCAAGTCTCTAGTGACTTAGAAATAATAGTTAGCATGTTAGCCGTTAGCCTAGATACAGCTGTAGCGTCAGACCTGTTAAAACGTAATTTAACGGGCATCCTTTCAAGTGCAAAGTTAGTCCACTAAACAAGCTTTTTTCCACAAAGACCGCCTCATATCGTTAGGATAAATGTCAGAGAACATATAGAAAACGTCATGTAAACGTGTTGTCTTACCTTACTGGTGTGGTGCCATGTTTGTTGTTTACCATTTAGCTAAGGCTGCAACCGGTCCCATTCCTTGCAACAGAGGCATTCCTCTTCTGTGGGCACTGGGGCACAGCATTCACAGGTACACCACCAATCT